AAAAAAAAAAAAAAAAAAAAAGAGAGAATTGTGGACCACAAGGACACTCAGGTCCCATACCTGAGGACCCCGTGGGTTTGCAGGACAAACCAGCAAGCGGGATGCCCGGATACCCCATGGGTTTGACAGGATGCTGCCTTAATGGAGAATCCAAGACCCTATCGAATCTCCTCCTGGACCCCGCCCCTGTGCACACACAGGCACACAGGTCCACACTCCCCCACCTCCAACAAGCTCATAACGGGAAGCCAAGCACATTCCAGCTGGGCACTAGAAAGCTGTGACAGTCCACAGAGAGACGCTGTGCCCAGCACACGTGGGTGTTCAGGAGCTGCCCTCACCTGCACTAGACTCAAAAGGCCGAGGAGCCCTGGCAGAGTGGATGGGGGAGGGGGATATCTTTGAAGACGCTGGCCGCAGCTCCAGGTCTGCCCCACCCAACCTCCAACTCAGAGGAAGGGCTGCCACGTGTCCTTCGAGGTGTGATGTGAGACCCCTGTGTGGGGGCAGTGACCTGGGGTCTGATGCTCATTTGAGAAATCAGGGGAGAGAGAGGGCATCTGAGCCTGGAGTTCCCACGCACCAGACAGGGGCGGGGGGGGGGGGGGGGGAGGGTCTTCTTGGCAGGCACAGCAGCAAGAATCAAACCATCTAAAGTAAAGACACTGCTGCCTGTGGGGGCAAAGGAGGCTTCCAGAAGTGAAGAACCTCCAAGAGTCCTCTACAAGGGCCCAAGAGAGAGCCGGCCGTTTATGCCAGCCTGCGGCCCCAGCACTGCAGCCAGCTTGTCCTGCCCCTCTCCACCACCCCCTGTGCACTCAGGAGCAGCTGGAGAAGCCGAGGGGCAAAGAGAACCCCCTCAGCCTCAGACCTTCTGCCCTGGACCCCCCAGGCCTGACCCTCTGTGGCAGCGGAGACACAACAGGGAGTGTCACTCAGAGTCTGAAGGTCCCCTTGAGTGGGACCCCAGGTGACCCTGAGGAGGAAGAGAGGTCCCAGGGCCACCAGGAGGCTTTCATCCAGGAAGGGGGCAGAGCATCCCCGCTGGATCAAGTTTAGAGACAGACTGCCCCTTCCGTCAAGGAAGTTTTTGATCATAACCTCCGTGGGTCAACAAAAAGGCCTCAAGGCATCCCCCAGGTTGGCCCACAGGCTCAGACACACCAGCCACGTGCAGATGCACGGACACGCATGCACACCCAGGACACACCCAACACCCACCTCTCACCCTCCACACAGGCCCACCGCCCGGCTTGGGACCCCCAGAGAGTCCCAAAGCCTGGGAAGGGAGACAGCAGGGGTCCCACCCTGGGTCTCTGGGGCTCTCACTGCGCACACTGTGGGTGCAGCACTAGCCCCACCGTCCCCACTCCTCAGGGCACCGGTGGCTCTGGTGGCTGAGCAGACGCCACTCCAGCCCCTGCATCCCACAGGGCCAGTTTGCACCAGGGGAAGGTGGGAGCTGCACCACTGTCTTGGTGCCTCTCTGCACCAGGGCCTCCCTCGAGGGTGGCCAGGTGCTTGGGGCTCCCACCGAGGGAGGGCACCCTGTGGAAGGCCAGGGTGCACACGGGAGCCGGCAGCAAGGGCCGCCCTGAGGGGGTTTATGTGGGTCAGACCCAACACAGCCAGGGGCAGGGGCTGGGCTGGCAGGAAGTGTCTGTGGTGGGGCAGCCGATGGGATGCCAGTCCACACCTGCCGGCTCCCCACCCAGCCTCCGCCTCCCCCGCCACCGCGGGAGACCGCCTGGGCACAGCCACCCCCACACCCTGGCGGTGCCCAACATTGCTTATGTAACAGGCTCTGGCTGATGCAATCTCAAGGGGGGGCCTCTCCCTCCTGCTTCCTCCCAGCTGTCCCCTTCCAGCAGGGTGGTCCCAGACTTCGGAAGGCCAGCCCAGCACACGGTCACTCACCAGTCACCCGACCACACGACGGACGAGGGCATGCACAGGTGCTGCTGGAGGTTCCGGAAGGAAGCCCAGGATCTGCCCATGGGGAGGGGATGGCAAAGGGGACCCTTGCTCTGGCCCTAACCCAGGCCCAGAACAAGCCTTCGAGGACAAGGCCCCAGACCCTCTGCCCATGGACAGACCCCCCCACTCCATTCCCAGAAGACCTCACAGCCCAGGGCCTCTGCCTTGTGACATCCTCTTCTGAGAAGTCTCTGGAGCTGGCCCATGGGGACACGGACTCAGCCCTGCCTATCCCTGTCTCTGACGGGCCCTTCCTCTCCCCGGATGGCTTCTGTTGTGTGGCCCTGAGGTCACCCAACACCTGACTCTGTGACAATGCCCCCCACCACCCCACACACTCTGTTCCTCAGCCAACCCCCAGCCCCTTCCCACCCTCAGACACGCTCTGTCCCTGCAGCAGGCCCTAAGCTTTCTAAAACCAGACCTGGGGGGTCACCATCCAAGCAACCCCAGTCAGCCCTTCCCCAAGCCCCAGCCTGTGCCCTTGAGCTCACCAGTCCCTCCTCCCTATGGCCCCATCTGGTGAGGACAGAGCAGAGGCCCAGAGGGGTCCAAGACGCAGACCATGCAGCCAGTGCTAAGGAGGGTCCTGCCCGGCCAGAGTGAGGGGCTCTGGGGAGGAGCAACTTCACCTCAGAACTCCTTGTCATGCCAGCTCCTGGCCCCTCGTGGCTGTCCATCTGCCCTCCTGGCCCACCTGGCAGTGCACCAGCCCTACCCCTCCTGAGGCTCCACAGATCCAAACCTGCTCTAATTAGGACCCAGTACCCTGTGATCTCCCACCTCCTGGGCCTGAGGCGGGGTGGGCCGAAGTCAACCAGAGAGAGGAGAGGCACCTTTGCTGCTTCCTCCGCAGCAACCCCAGCCCCTCGCTCCCTCCCGGTACACGCCAGCTCAGCCCTGCAGGACCCCAGGCTGACCAAGGCTGAGCCACTGCAGCTGCACCCAGGCTGGCGAGGTGGCCCTTCTCGGGTTAGTGCATTACAATAGCAGCAGTGGCTGATACCTGCAAACCACCTGCCAGGCTCGTGCCAGGCCCAAAGCACCTAGCACTGAGTAATTTGTATCACTTCAACAGAGCAACTCGGAGAGGAGCACTGTTCTTTCTGGTTTTTAGCTTTCTTTTTTGAGACAGGGCCGCTGGCTGGAGTGCAGTGTTGTGATCATGGCTCACTGCAGCCTTGACCTCCTGGGCTCCAGTGACCCTCCCACCTCAGCCTCCTGAGTAGCTGGGACAACAAGCACGACCACCACGCCTGGCTCAGAGATGGCTTCTATGCTTTTCCCCATCTGCAGATTGGAAAACCGAGGCTCAGAGGACCTCATCATTTACCCACACCTCAGTCCTACAGCTGGCAGTGGTGACGCCAGGTTTGAGTGCAGGCAGTCGGCTCCCAGTACACCCTCCCCCAGCACACCCTCCCCCAGCACACCCTCCCCAGCACACCCTCCCCCAGCACACCCTCCCCAGCACACCCTCCCCCAGCACACCCTCCCCAGCACACCCTCCCCCAGCACACCCTCCCCAGCACACCCTCCCCCAGCACACCCTCCCTGAGTACACCCTCCTAGAAGTGAGCACTGACAGCCCACGCTGTGTAGATCGGCTCGGTGTATGCCTGGGGGACACTGACGTGACTTAGGCTGGCCTGTGTTCTGGAAGGTCACAGGTCCCTCGGGGGGTCAAGGCTGGTTCACCACACTAGTCCCCCTGCACACAGCCCGACAGCTCTGCCAGGCCCAGGCTCCAGCCCCCTGCTCCTCTGGGGAGGGGTGGCAGCACAGCAAGAACGCAGCCACCACGCGCTTGGCAAACACAAGGTGATCAAAACAAGGGGAAGGCGCGTGACTGTGGAGGGAAGGTTAGGTCATCGGATTCTGGGTGGTCAAAGGGTTTGCGGGGGCCAAGCCAAGAGCTGGGATGAGAGCACCATCACCAGGTTACACGGCCGGCAAACCTGCCAACGATAGGGATCCCGCTCAACATCTGCTAGGACCTGGAGACAGGCTCCTTCTATTCCCCACCTGGACTTCCACAAAAACCAGCACCAAGCAGAGAACAAGGCCACCTGCGGGTCAGGAGGGAGCAACAGGGGCGGCAGAAGCTTTGCACCACCCCTCCTGGGGGGTCACCCCAGCAAGTCCCCTCCACACTGAGCCTCTCTCTTCATCTATGAAATGGGCCTGATATAGCAGCCTTTCTCCAGAGCGATAGGGAGCAGCAGAAACTGTGAATACAAAGCGCCCACGAGATGCCTGCAGGTACTCAGCGATAGGCAGAGCCC